TTGCCTACAGATGGGCTTTGGGTCCCTACTCCGCACTCCCCCTCATTCACAATGATATGATTTTTTGTTCTTTGATGCCTGATACCTGGTTCCTTCTATACCTCATGGTCACACAGGCTGGTGTGCTTCTTCCATGTGGGCTTTGTTGCTTCTCAGCTAGATAGCCACTGGTTTGCCTTCAAGACCCCAGACACTATATCTTTTTAAACATAGCCGGGCACCATCAGCTTTCATGTCTGTCCTGTGGAGCAGCTGGTGGTGTCGAACTGCTGACCTGTGGCTAGCAGCCCAACACAAAACCAACCACTCCGCCCCTTTAAATCCAAAAATAACTTCAGGTGCTGAACCACATCATGCTCCTGGATGCAGCTTTTCTTCAGTTTACGGAAAGGGGAAGCGGGGGGCGTTCTCTAGTGGAGAGAAAAAAACACCAATCTAATAAGACTACCATCAGAAAGGCTGGGCTTTCCGCACCCATAAACAGTTACAGTCTGAGAAGCTCACAGGGGCCTGTAGGGTCAGTAAGAGCCAATGCCTCCATGGCAGGGAGTTTAATAAGGCTGTGCCTTCTATTTATTAAATGCTCTACACTTCGTAAGCATGTATCTATCCATACACATGCTTTGTATGAAGACACTGGGGATTTCTACGTGCAGGGAAATCATGCATTCCCTTTCTGGCATCAGTGGCCCAGTGCTAAGCATGCAACATCAAATAACAGCCGGTGGAGCCATCTCAGACCTTCGGTAGCAAACTTTCCTAAAATCATAGCACCTGGACCAGAGAGAAGAACTAGAGGCTCTAAAATACAGAAACCTGATTTCTCAGACCGGATCTTCCGTGAATGGCACTGTAAGAGCCCGTTTTAGGAAGGGTTTAAACATCCAAGTGGATTGTACCAAATTATCGCTCTGATGGCTGCATCATTCGATCATTCTTCATCAGGAGAGTTGGGTGATTTGCTGGTGATCGTTCGGAGCACTATTCTGATTTTCCAGTCACACAGCATCTGCTCCGGATTGCTCCTCAGTCCAGAAAACATGTGTGACGCCCTCCTTCCTCCCTTGTCTCCCCCTACAGAGCCGGATTGGGTGACACTGCGTCGGAAGCAGACTCCAAATCTCAAGCACCGTCCACTGGTTCCTCCAAAGGTAAGCACAGTCCTGAGGAATCACTCAGAGGAAGTCAGAATGAATTTGAGGAATGGCACCCGCTGTGAGATTTCCCTCAGTGGTGCAGGGTTAGTCATTTCCTGTCTTCTGAGCTAGAGGGAAAGATTGGTGCCATGCCTGTGGCAAGAGGAGTGGCCTATGCAACCTTAAAGGTTGTGGCAAGTCCCAGGGGAGAAAGTTCTTCTACAAAGAGGTATGATGAGGGCCAGCACACGTTTTGTACTGTTTTCAAAGAAAAAGGCTTTCATTGGCCCACAAGAAAACTGAATCTTTTTTGCATTGCCATTGACTAAAATACACTTTTTAAAAAAAATATAAAAGCCCCTTTTGAAAGTTTGAATTTCATGGATGGCATCAGTCAATACCTAATTTAAAAGCTTACGCAACAACCAATTTTGGATTGATCTTTGAAACACTGGTTTTTCAACCCTTTCTTTCATCTTTATCTTAGACTCCACCAAAAGCCGGAAGATCAAGACAATTGTGCAAGAGGTGGTGAATGGCCAGGTGGTCTCGTCCCAAGTTCAGGAAATTGAAGAACTCATGTAGAAGGTTTTAGAAGATCTGCCACCTGATTGGTCCCTTAGGAAGAAGAAATCTACTAGAAAGTATTCCTTTCAGAGTGAAATATTGTATTCGCTCAAGCTCCATTCTTGTCTGTTTCGTTTTCTTTAGCTTCCCTCTTCGCTCCGAGGGCTTTCAGCACTTCTGAACCAATATTCAGACGACATCGGGTGCGTTCAGGGTGGGATGGCCATAGACTTGAACCAATATTCAGATGAAAGTCAAGGTGGCTGTACTAATCTCTATAATGAGCTAAAACTTACCTTTCATCTCTCTACTAGGAGTCGTGTTTCAATGATAAAATTTTGATAGCTTATAACTTTTTTTTAAATCAAGAATTTTAATCAAGTAGTGATGTTTTAAAATAATTCATTTCAATAAAAAATGAATGAAAATAGCGTGAAAGGTGTACTTTCTTCATTTAACAATAAATGTCAAGGGCATAGAAAGGCATTTGGGGAAATAATATGAAATTGCTCAACACTGGGATCAAGATCTCCAGGTTGAAGTCAAGGTTCTTTTAAAGGTCTGTCCTTTTAATGTTAGCCCATCAAGAGTCCGGCACGAGTTCATAGACAGTATACAGCAGCTTCTCTGTTTACTTTCTAGCACCATCATTTATTCAGTAAACACCTATTGAACTCCAGACACAGTGGTGGAGATAGGAAGCTGAATAACAGGCTCTTGGGCCGTGAGGAGCTCACAGTGGAGGGCCAAACCAAACTCATGGCATCGAGTCAACGCTGACTGTAACTGTTACAGGAGTGGAAAGCCCAGTCTTTTTCCCTTGGAGCTGCTGATGGCTTCAAACTGCCAACCATGTAGATCACGGCCCAATGGGTAACCACTACTCCACCAGGGCTCCTACAGCGGAGGGCAGCAGAACGGTGACACGGCTGAACCTAAGTTCAAAGAACGACAGACACCCGGTGGAAGACGGTCTTATCAGAGGAGATCTTCATTAAAAAGTCAGTCGAGGTGGGTTGAAAAGGAATATTTCAGGGAGAGGAGCTGCCTTGGGGGGAAAACCCGGGGCTATAAAAGAACATTGCTTCATCTCTCTTCTCCTAGCTGACCCCGGAAGGGTGGGTCATTAACCCAAGGCCAGTGCCAGAGCTGGGGCAAAGGGAAGGCAGCGTCTAAGCTGAGTAGATGGTTCCCTCTGGGGTGACAAATTCAAAACCTAGACGGTCAAGAGAAGCAGCAGTTCATGATTAAGCAGTTAGGGTCTAACGCCAGACTGGGTTAAAGTCCTAGCTCAGCATGTGAGTAACTTTTTCCCTTCCTAATGAATACAACAGTCATGCTAGTGCCCACTTCACAGGGTGGGTTGTTGGGAAGTGAACAAGGGGATAAGCATCAAGCATTAGGGATGATCCGTGGCACCTAGAATATAAAAAAAAAAAAAAGAATCCCAATGCCATTGAGTCGATGTCAACTCATAACAACCAGGACAGGGTAGAACTGCCCCCTGTGAGTTTCTATGATGGTAACTCCTCAGGGCCAGAGAAAGCCCCATCTTTCTTCCAGGGAGTCACTGTGGTTTCAAACCACCGACCTTGCTGTTAATAGCCCAATACATAACCACTACACCACCAGTTCCTGACATTTGGGCCCTGTTTTTATTTGCTATAGGGCATCCAAACAGGATGGAGGAACCATGCTCATTGTAGTGTGTGGAGTGTCAAAGTGAGCAGAGTGGAGAAGGGAGAGTCAAGCAAGCCTGGAGGGACTCCAGAACCCAGCGCAGAAGCCCACGGGAGACTTCCTTCCGTGTCATTTAAACTGGCTCGAGTGTTTAGGTTCCCAAAGCCACGTTTCCTCCTACTGTTTATTTAATGGCTCCCAGCCCTCCACTCAGATCATTTGCTTATACATAACAATGGAATCATTTCTGTTTGGCCCTCCCCTTACAGGACACATCCTAGGGTAGCCTTTCTTTTCACACACAAAGAGATGCTCAAGTTACATTCCTGAATTATGTTCCGGTGGTTCCTGTTTTAGGTGTCAGATGCCACAGGCAGCTCGGACTCAGTCAGTTCTCTCCCACAGAGGCTGTTGGGCTTGAGGGCACCTGTCCAATCCATCTCATGGAATGCTTCCTCTTTTTCTCTGACCCTCTACTTTTCCAAGCACAATGTCCTTCTCCAGGGTCTGGTCCCTCCCGTTGACACAGCCACAGCATGGGAGGCAACCTGTTGCTAGGCTGGCTTCCAAGGAGTATGCTGTCTGCACTACTTGCAAGATGGATTTGTTTCTTCTTCTGGCAGTCCGTGACACATCCACGGGTCTTCTTCAGCGCCATAATTCATACGTATCCATTCTCCTTCGTTCTCGCTTATTCATTGTCCGGGTCTCACATGCATGTGAGACGGCTGCAAGTACCATGTGTTGGGTCAAACACACCTTAGTTCTCATGGGGACATCTTTGCTTATTGACAGTTTAAGAATGTCTTTTGCAGCAGATTGGTCCAGCGTAATATATGCTCTGCTTTCTTGACTGCTGCTTCCATGAGCATTGATTGTGGAGCCAAGTAAAATGAAACCTTTGATAACTTCAATAGTTTCTCCGCTTTTTATTGCTTATCGGCCCAGCTATGAGGATTTTTGTCTTCTTTATGTGACAGTAATCCATAATAAAGACTGCAGTCTTTGATTTTCATCAGGAAGTGCTTTAAGTCCTCTTTGCTCTCAGAAATCAAGGTTGCACCATTTGCACACGGCAGATTGTTAATGACCCTTCCTTTGTGTTAGGCTGGGTTCTCTAGAGAAGCAAAGCCAGTGACAGATATGTACAATATACACACACAGAGGAAGGAATGTGGGGTGCAAAAGAGTTTTTCTCCAGGTTGTCTCCCCCAAATATATGCCAAACAAGACACTGCTTGCTACACATGGTCAATGACTATATACTCGGAGGTCAACACAAGCCATATAGAGGTGATTCTCCCGGAGGGTTATCAGCCATCTAGAGCAATCAGACTGTGTAGTCTGTCCCACCCTAAGTAGGCCCCACTCCCTTCTGATAAGGGTAGTGGACTGTTTCCTTGAAAGAAAGCCTAGTGGTAAGGTCGAGTCCACGCAAAAATGACCAAGGTTAGGCTGTCATCTTGAGTGTAGGGTCTGCCCATCTTGTCACATGTGTACCCCTAATCCCTCCCCTTCCTATTGCGTGTCCACCCCTATGATGCATATGCCTTCCTGTGATGCATATGCCTATTGTACAGCCCTTTCCTGTGGTGTAGGGGTTACATGTAATGAGGGGGGCTTGCACACTCCCAAGTATATATAGGCCTTGGTCAGAAATAAAGAGCATACACTTTCTCCTCCCCTCTCCTCCACCCGCACTCTGCTCAGACCTGGCTGCTGAGATCATGGCTGTCCAGGAGGTGAGCATGCTACCATAAAATGTGTCTGACTCCTTTATTTCACTCTCTCTCCTATGTCTCTTATTCTCTATGACTTTACTATAATCTTTATATATTATCGCCATACACTTGCACCTACGGACCCGCGATAGAGGAAGGGAGAGAAACGGGGGCGTGTGGGAGGAAAAG